ACTTCTCTCCAGTGGAACGAGCACACATCCCCAGGAGCTCTGCAAGGCCAGCAAAGCTCTTGGCAGTGCAGTACCTGCGGGTGCTACACTGTCAGACAGCCTAGAAACTGTCACGAGGCAACCCCCACTCCCACATGCAATTTTTGTTCAGGGAACAAATCTGCAGGCACTTCATGCTGTTTTCTGTACCTTGGTGGCAAATTCCCTTCCACCTACCACTCCCCTACTCTCTTTGCACAAAAAAGTCTCCATGCTGGACCTCCTCAGCACCTTTCCCTTTATATGAATTTCCCTGAAAGGATCAGGGGAGGTGCCTTTTATTAGCCAAGCAGCCTTGAAAACGATATTGTTTTCCAAGGAGGAGTTTTACATGCCTTTCATAATCCCAGAAGGGATTTATGTAGTTTCTTCCAGTTTCTCGTAATGCTGCAGTCACAGGCTTACACAGAAAAATGGATCAGGAGACAACCAACCTGTTAGATCAACTAGAAAGTGAGCATACAGATCCATTAAATAACAGTTACTCATAGGAAGTCTGGACTCAGATTTAGCAGGAGGGGAACCCATAAAATCTGAAAGGGACCAGGAAAGAAGCCACCTACAAGTTTGCGTTAGAGCTGTACCAGAAAAGTAAGTGACCTAACAACAGAAAAAAACAGAAAACAAACCTCAAACCAACAACAGTAATGCAGAATTTTGGATCCCTGGGCTACCAATCACTTGCTGTCCTACCTGCTTCCAGAAAGAGGATCTATGTGCTCAAAAGAAAAGCAAGTAGGTCTAGGTATTCTTTCCTGCTCCCTCAAAAGTAAGGAGTTTACATTTTAGGTTGCTGGGGCTGGGGCTTCTTTGGAGGGGGAAGAGGAACTAGAAAAGAAATGGACAAAGTTTTTCTCCAGGTCCTATATTCACACTAAATATAGCCACCAAACATACACACTATTAAAAACAGACAACACAAGACCAACAGAGCCTGAAGATATGATCATCAAGTCAAATCTGACAAGGATTTTAGGAAAGAAAAATCTTTTAAGGTCTAGTTGGCAATGATTTTAATAAGGAATCTAGGTATTTTCTCCAGGCTGCCATGTGATTCAGAAAAAAAAAAAAAGAGCTCGAACTGCTGCACACAGTTACTGTGACTTCTTTGTAACAGGTGATTAACTCTGATCTTTAGTATAACATAATAGTGGAGACAGATATAAAGAAAGATCAAAACATATGACTCGAAGTGCCCAGATAAGGAGGACTCTGATGGACAAACTGCTGCCCTCCGAAGCCACCCAGGCCACCAGGAAAGCAGGCATACAACGGCTCACAGAAAGTGGGCCAATCTTAAAATATTAGTATTACAACATGAAGCTTTTCAAGCTGAATTCTTCTAGCTCTGGCAGGCAGGGAGCTAGAAATAGAACACTTTGGATTTAGGATCACACATGCAGAGATCTGCCTGTGATAAACACCAAAAGCAAGTGCCAGAGAGCATTTGAGCAGAGACCTAGGAAAACTGTCAAAAAGGAAGAGGAAAAAAAAGCAAAGAAAAAAAGCAAGCCCACACACTTGTCAACAAGAAAAAGGAGACCAGTGGAGACAGCTCACCAGCTTCCTTCCAAAAATGACTTCGTTGCTCATTCACTCCCTGTCGCAGCTTAGGAGCCAGGACACAAATCAATCCTGGAGCAGGTAACGCCTTGCTCCCCTTTATACCAATGACCAATGCCAGGTTAGCTAGGAGTGGACTTATTTGAAATAAGGTATCTTTCTGCGCTGAGCAAAGTCAGGCAGGTCATTTCCTAGGCCAGCATAAAGGGTACCTTACACTTCCTTGCATTTAATTTGAATGACTGAATTCAAGTAACGTAAACACTCGTCTGCTCAACTTGTAGGCAAATGGATTTGACAGCACTGGTAGAGGTTTAAGGTCTGTCAATGGGAAAAGAAAATTGCCCCTCTTTAAAAAGCTATTGATTTATTTATTTATTCATAAGTAAAAAATGCTTTTTAGAAGAGAAGCTTTTTTTGCAGACTGCTTCAGAAATCATGTGTATTCACACTTGAAGACATTAAAGCAACAAGGGAGTGGGAACGTGCTGCAGCTCTCTCAATTTTAAGTTTCTTGCCTGGCAGCACAGAAGTAAAACAGATACTTATTTCGCAACTGTGGGCAAAGAACATTAATAATAGGCCCACCATCAAATCCTCCGGCTGTTCAGCCTAAGCACCAGAACTACCCATCTCATCTTCTGCAACAGCGTAAGGACATATATCCTGCCATGCTTGGCTTTTAACCTCCTCCTTGTAAGGCTCCATTCCATGTTTCAGTTAAGAATGTTTTGCTCCTGCCCAAAAAGTGAGCTTCAAAACCCCACCTACCCAGCTAATTATCAAACTTAATAAAAACAGGCCTCTCCTTAAACCAATTAAAGTATTCAACAGACAGCACTATCACACAAGCTGTCTGTTGCCCTTCATAGTGGTAGCAGGGACCTGGGCATAAAAAAAAAAAACAGACAGACATACAGGAGTTTTGAAGCAAGCCTACTGCGGCAGAAGGTCAATGTGATGGGAAGGGAACGGTTAAAAACTGTAAGCTTATTTATTCTCAACACTGTACCGGAGAGTAACATGCAATTTGATTCTCACCCTTAATTTGTACATTCTCACGGGAATTTGGCAAGGTTGCTCTGAAGAAGAAAGCTTGAAGAACTCTTGCAAAAGACACCGTGCTATGCCAGATCAAGCAAGCTATCAGTTATTTACATTAATTTCAAAGGACACAAAGGAAGCCATTTATTTCCACCATATCTGCACTTTTTAAAGAGGGCTTGTCCATACAGACCAACCAGCATAGCTGCTCTGGAGTAAACATTTAAGTATGATCAAACTAGCCTGAATTAATTCACAACTACAGAGATTATTCCAGGACACAGTGATCTCAGAAGGGAACACACGCGTTAGGAAGTCATCCTAAACCTGTACTACTGGGATGTTTCCTAGTGCAGGCAAGGGAAGTCCTCTGGCTACCAGGGAAAGTGATTTCTGGTCTGCACCTTCCAAGCAACCCAGGAGAATTTTTAAGAAGCCTATTTTAAGCACAAGTTTCAGGAACTGTAAGGAGGCATATTTGGCTTAGACACACTTGCAGGATTAAAATGTGCACCTAATTTTCCCAGCTATTAAATAAAAGGACTCCTACGTTAACACATAGGAGTGCATTGCATGTCTTTTAGACAAGGGAAATAAAGGAACAAACATGATGTCAATTTCTTCAGACACATTGCTACAAACAAAACTAGAAAAAACACAAGTCTCACTACAGGTTAAGAACCCCATCGTGCTATCTGGAGTCTGAATAACAGGGGTAGGGAGATGGGGGGGGGAGAAGAAAAACGCTACGCCTGCACATGCAGCATAATCAATCTTAACCAGTCAACAGTTTAGTGACATAACTGAGTTTCCCAGATCTGAGCTGCAGATCCCGCAGTGCAGAAACCACGGCCAAGGGAGGCTCTCCCTCATCTCTCCTTCAACAGCTCCAAACCCGAGTAAGGTTTCCCCATGGCTACACAGAGGTGGAAAGAGATAAAGAAAACCACTGCTGCCCTGGTCAGTAAAAAGCAGGGGCATTCATGAAGGTGAAATAAAGATGAGGAAACCAATGGGGTTATCCTCCAAACCCCCAAAATTGAGTTAAGCAGGAAGAAAGAGATCAAATGCCATATTGATAAATAAAGCTCAGTGCGTGGACAAAACAGGACCTGAAATTTAAGTGGTAATTTAAATTTATTACCAAGAAAGATCATTCACCAATTTACAAAGTTCTTTTCAAGGTACCTTTTGTAGTTGACAAAGGTGAACTTAAATATTCCCCATTAGCTGAACTGTGGGGTCAGTGCAGCTGTAAAGATCCTCCTCTTTCAGCCAGATCATCTCCCAGGGACTGAGCTGTTCAGCGGTACTTTGATCAGATCTCCCCAGGTACAGCCAGCTCCGTGGCATTCCCATTGCCTTCTGTTTTCCAGTAATGGGAGTCCACATACCCAATCTGTTTGAAATTTCACTTAACTATTCCTTTGAAACCACTTCCCTGCACAGGCCATATAGCATTATTATTTGGCTTGCAGAAAGGAACAGATTTAAAAAGGGGGAAAAAAAGTTTTTTCCTTCCTCATAAGCAAAAGCTTATAATAGGAATTAAGATGCATTTGTCAGGTCAACACCTCCTACAATTAAGACAGGGCCGGAAAGACTCAGTCCTGTTCTGATGCAATTAATATGCACGCTACGCCAGAGAGGTAGAAAGGGTCACGACTTTGCTGAGCCTCTGGTCCTGGGGGCAGAGGGAAGCCTAAGGAAAGAGACCTGTAACTCTGACATGCAGCACCAACAGGTGCTTTCAAAAATATTTTAAGACCCTGAAACTATTTATGAGTTACAAGATCAAAGCATCAATCAAAATAACTGGAACACGAGCACAGAGCTGAGGTCGGCCAGCTGAGCCTATGAATGGAGCTAAAACGCCTTGTTTATCTCAGCACGTGTGCGCACACTAAGCCTGAAAAATACGGGTGACCTGCCCGAGCAGCCCACCCGCTCCTCGCTGTCAGGCCAGCTGAAAAAGCATGGAGAAGACACAGCCAAGTAACGGGTGCGGATTCCCGTCAGCGGTTCTCACTATAATGGACAGATGAGTGGAAAAAGCAAGAAAGAAAACAACCTTGCTTGGCACCATGCCCACACACACATCCCAGTGCAGTGGGGGAAAAAGAGGCCAGGGGCACATACCAGCCGCGTATCAGCTTTCTGGCCTGGGGAATGGGCAGATCTGGCAGAAGCCTAAATACCAGCCACTCTCGGTCCCGAATGCACCTTCCCAAACCCCTCTGCTAGCAGGAACCCAAGAGGCCTCTGCTGCAGGGCTCCCTCACCTCAAGAAGGCAGATGCTGACCACCACCGAGCAGCACCTCCCATCCCATCCCCCCCCCAGGCACGAGCCCACCTTTTTTGAACTCCTCCAGCATGGCATCGAGCTTGGTGTCATTGAAGACGAAGTGCAGCGGGTGGTTGTAGAAGCGGGTGATGGTCTTGAGCGGAGTGCAGTCATCGGGGTCCACAAAAGCCAGGTCCTTAACAAAGAGCAGGTCCACAATGTTGGAGCGGTCACCCTCAAAAACAGGGATGCGGGTATAACCGCTCTCCATGATCTCGGACATAGTGTTGAAGTCGAGCACAGCCTCGGCAGCAATCATGAAGCAGTCTCGGAGGGGAGTCATCACATCCTCCACCGTCTTGGTGCGCAGCTCCAGGGCTCCCTGGATAATGTTGAGCTCCTCCTTGACTAGATCGTTATAAGGGTCAGTGACCCGCAGCATCTCCAACAACTTCTCACGGTTATAGACCGTGCCGATCTCCTGGCCCAGGACACAGTCCAGCAACTTGCTGACGGGGTAGGAGGCCGGGAAGGTCATCATCATGAAAAACTTGGTGAGGAAGATGGTGTTGGCGCCCACGGCCAGGCCGTGCCGAGAGCAAATGGCCTGCGGCACGATCTCGCCGAAGATGACGATACCGATGGTGGAGACCACCACGGCCACCAGCCCAGAGCCGGCTATATCGTCCAGCAGGATGGTAAGCGTGGTGTTGACCAGGACGTTGCCCAGCAGGAGGGAGCAGAGCAGGTAGTTGCCCTGGCGCCGCACGGGCTCGATGCGCTTGGCATAGTTCTTCTCTTTGTCCGTGCCACAGTTCTGCACGATGCGCAGCTCCATGGGGTCCAGGGCCATAAGGCCCAGGTTGAGGCCGCTGAACATGCCCGAGAGGCAGAGAAGGAGCGAGATGAAGATGACCTGCAGCCAGAAGGGCAGCAGGAACTTCTTTTCCTCGCCGACGATCATCTTGGTGTCCTCGCCGTCGTGGTAGATCCAGGTAGTCTCGCCCCAGG